GGTCCTACCACCACTCGGGAATCCCCAAGCTGTGTATGCCATCAGGGTCGCTCAGGATCGCTGCCAGACCACAGCTTCATATGTCTCCTTTTTGGTATTTTCACACAAATTCTTCTGCTAGTTGGGGTTTAGTACACTTTTAAGTATCCTTCCCTTTAAGGCTCAAGGGTCCAAGATTATCTTCTGTATCTGTTTTAATTCGTTTCCCTTTTCTTTGTTGAAGAGGGTCTGTGCAGTCTTTCTGCCTAGTCCGCCATCTTGCCAGAACCTCCCAGTGACCAATTTTTTCAGAAATGTAGCTGGCCTCATCCTTCTTCCAAGTCTGTCTTGGTCTGCAAGCTCAGCTGAGACCTCTCCATCATGGGTGACCCTACTGGTATGTGAAATATCTATGCTATAGCTTCCAGCATCACAGCAACATGCAAGCCACCACAGTACACAAACTGACAGACAATAAGCCCACAAATATGATAATTATCATACAGAACTAAATAAACACACACCCATATGCCGAAACTGCTGAAATTTAAGTAAGGTCAGTTGGGTGCTATCAGTTTGGCTGTGACTCAAAGAGCCCCTATGTACAACAGAATGAAACACTGCCCAGTCCTGTGCCATCCTCACAATCCTTGCTATACCTGAGTTCATTACTGTAGCTACTGTGTCAATCCATCTCATTGAGGGTCTTCCCCTTTTTCGTTGACCCTCCACTTTACCAAGCATGATATGTTTCTCCAAAGAATGGTCCCTTATAGCAACATGACCAAATAGGTGAGATGAAGCCTGGCCATTCTTGCTTCCAAAGAGCATTTTGGCTGTACAGGACAGGTTTGTTTGTTCTTCTGGCACTCCATGGTATTTTCAATATTCTTCGCCAATACCACAATTCAAAGGCATCAACTCTTTTTCAGACTTCCTTATTTATTGTCCATCTTTCACATGCATATGAGGTGATTAAAAATACCATGGCTTAAGTTAGGCACATTTTAGTAAGTAGGGTGAGTAGATCACATCAATATCAATACCCTGATTGTGCTACTGTACTGTAATTACAAAAGATGTCATCAACTGGGGAAACTGGTGAATGATAAAAGGGATCTCTCTGTACTATTTCTAAAACTGCCTGTAAATCTACAATTAGTAAAAATTTCCAAAAACATAAATAAATAATCAGCAATTCTTTCAAGACAGAATTTTTGAATAAAGAATATCAAGTAAAACAAAGTAATACCTTCCTCCATGGACTTAGTGAAGTTACACATAAGTGAAGATAAGCCCTTAAGACATCCTGCCACAAGAGGTAGTTTGGGCTCTCTTACTGTGAATGTCATCTAAAAGAAAAGTTTTAAGAAGATATCATTAAAAGAGAAAACATATTCAGGTCTATGAAAGCAGAAAATCCTAAAGTTTACAGTAAGTCAAAATCATACCTGGGTCTTAAGTTCACCCAAAAAAGCTCGGAACAGTTTTTCAGAATTATTTACCATCTCACTAGGATGAACTTCACCTAATACTCCTAGGAGCTCATATATTTTTTCTAAAACTGAAAAAAAAAAAATTTAGACAAATGAAGGCCTAATTTACATTTAAAATAAGTTAAATTAACAAAAATGTAAGAATAAAAGAAATGAGCGGATGTTTACTTCAAAAGTCATTTCATAATTAGACATACAAAATTATCTAGTTTTTGTATAATGGAATCTTTCCTGATGAGTTTTATAGAACTTTATTATTGTAAATTAAATTGTATTTGCAATCTGTTATGTTTTCTATTTAAAGGAATCACTCTGTAAATATTAAAACTTTCTAAATAGAAGTCATTTAAATAGAAATCATTATATATTGTTTTATTTATTTTCATTTTAGTTTGTTTTCAGCAAAAAGGATTCATCAAACATATAAAGACCTTGACAGAGGAAATCTAAACTTTATACTAAAAAAATGTTATGTTAATTTGCTAAATTATTTTAGAATAACATTTAAAATGTGTCTCACCTGTACCTGGTATTTTTGTTTTCAATGCAAGTTCTCCATAGAATTTGCTAAATAATTCTCCAATATTGAATTCTTCCATGAGGCTAGAACTTCTCAAAGTCTGAAGTAACTATAAGAATACAAATTAGCACTTGCCAAAGAGAAGAATAAAGAAAAGGTATTCAACTCTCTCAGTGCATGTGTATACAGCATAATGGAAGCTTCTGTCTCTACGGAAGTTACAAAGACCTCTTGAAACTCATCTAGCCAGATTATCTGGAGGTAGGTTCTGAGGTAGGTGTTAAGGGGGCCATTGGTTATAAAGGGGGAAAGTGGTCTAGACTTGATTTTACCTTCCCATGAAACCAATAAAATGACTGGGACTAATCTCTGAGACAGTCTCAAGACCAAGGATCAACCAAATGCAATACCAAAAACACTTGTTGCTATTGAGTCAATTCTGACTCATAATATCCCCATGTGTCAGAGTAGAACCAGACCTAAAGGAAGCCTGAAAGTCTAAAAGAAAGATGCAGGTAAAAGTGAGATGCAGGTGAGGGTGAGTGTCAAGAACCATTTTAATATAATGTACACACCCATACCCATTGCTAAGGTTTTTTTACAAAAAACTGAGATAAACTGAGGTGATATTTTGATTTTTTGACAATTCCTAGTTTCACGTTTCACCAAAGGTTTTAAGGGTAATTAATAGAAGATCAGCAAATCCCTTAGATACTGTTCTCTTCATTTCTCTCACAATTTTTTCCCCCACTACACACAGAGGTGTGAGAAAAAAATAGCAAGGTATTGTAAGGTGATGGATGGAAAATGTGCATCTTATCTATACATCAATGTAATTCAATCCTATCCTCCAACTTCTCATAATCCAAACCAAAACACCAAAATCTAGTTTTATGTTTCATAACCTATATGTATATAAAATGCACGTACATAAAAACATATAATTACCTTAATAAGAAGGTCTAGGGCTGGAATTTTACATTTAGCAGCTTTATCTTTCGTATAAACACTGGTACAAGTATTCTAGGTTTTAAAAGAAAATATACCAAAATCATCAATTACAAGAAGACAAATTGTGTATTAAAGAACTTTGTAAATGTGAAACACTTTACAAATGTAACTTACTGCTACAACAGAGAAAATTTTTTTAAAATACTAAGATTCCAATCAAGAAAGACTAAAACTCAAAGAGGAATAAAAACAAAGCCTACTTTAAAATGAAAAAAAAAAAAAAAACTATTAAAAAAATAGTATATATTCAATCTGATATAATTTACAAGAAAATATGTTGTAAATTATAACTGGGTATATAATACATATTAGGAGCTCTGGTGGCACAGTGGATAAAGGATTTGGCTGCTAACCAAAAGGTCAGCAGTTGGAACCCACGAGGCACTCAGCAGGAAAAAGATGACGCAGTCTACTTCCGTAAAGATTTATAGCATGGAAATACTGTGGGGCAGTTCTATTCTACCCTATAGGGTCACTGTGAGTCAGAATTGACTCAATGGCAATGGGTTTGTTTTTCAGTTTATAATACATATTACAATAATTAACTATAACAAGTTACAACTGTCTGTAATTCATATGTGAAGCAAGCCCTCATGGCTCAATGATTAAGTGCTCAGCTGCTAAACTAAAGGTTGGCATTTTGGACACACCCAGTAGCTCGAGAAAGGAAAGACCTGGTGACTTCCTCCCAAAAAGATTACAGCCTAGAAAACTCTATGGAGCAGTTCTGCTCTGTCAAACAGGATAGCTATGAGTTGAAATTGACTCAACAACTGTTACAATTTATAAAATATTTACTTATAACTTTCCTATAATTTCTTATAAATTAACTCAGATTGAATACATACTTCTTCATCTAGAAGCTAACTCAAATCCAGTAAGAACAACTTATCTGAAGACACAGCACTTGTTCAAATTATAAATAAATCTGAGAAAGAACCACTCAACTTATGCTTTCCAGTCCCACAGTAAATCATGAGGCAGTCTGAGTTTGTGCTGGAGGAAGGCAAAGCAGGACTAGCTTGGGGAGAATAGGAACTCAAGAGAGGTGTACTTTAAGACTAAGGTCAAAGACAGCACCTAGACTTTAGGAAATATGGATCTCATCTAGTGGAAAGATTCTGCAAAATAACCTTCTAAAGTGTTCTTTAATCTTAACACATTTCTAAGAATCAATAATACAACTTTTTTTAAAAAAGCATTATAGATCCCATATGCAAAAGTCATCAAAATAGTTTCTGAAAAGACCCTTAGCCTATTAAATCTAAATAAATAAATAAAAAGGGAAAGGAATACCCCATTTCATTTTTAACACAAATATCCTTACCTTAATATCAAGAGAATAAGGTGTAATCTTCTGGCCAATTTTTTCTAAGAAAATATATAAAAATTTTAAGACTTCTTCTCTACAATCACGAAACTATAATAAAAGAAACACATATCATAGTAAATACAGGAAGGAGTGAGAGTCACACTAACATAAAGGAATATACAAGAAAAGCAAAATGAAAGAGTTCAACTTACTTCTTCAATGCTCAGTGATTTCCGCACAAACACAAGCAAACCAAAATCTTTGGAAAAAACTAAGGAAGTCTGTAATGCTGAGAGAAAAGACAAGAAGTAAGTTGTGAACACTGCCAAGAAGAACTCCATTAACAATAAGCCTACCCTAAAGGGGCTGATGGAGAACCTGGGTACTGCAAATAGTCAAGCACTCAACTATTAGCCAAAAGGTTGGTGGCTGGAACCCATGCAAAGGTACTTGAGAAAACAAAACAAAACTCACTTCCATCTAATCAATTCCAACTCATACTGACTATAATAGGACAGAGTAGAACCACTCAATGGAGTTTCCATGGTTGTAATCTTTCCTGAATCAGACTATCACATCTTTCTCCCACAAAGAGGCTGGTGGGTTTGAACTCCTGGTTAACACCTGAGCATTTAACCACTGTGCCACCAAAGCTCATTCCTGGAAAGACAGGCCTGGGAATTTGTTCCCAAAGCTAACAGTTTTAAAAAGCCTATAGAGCAGTTCTACTCTGTACACATGGGGGTCATCGTGAGTTGGAATCAACTCAATGGCAACTAACAAACACAAAAGGGGTTGTATGTTTCTCAATTCAACCTTATAAATAATAAAGCACTGATCTAAAGGCTATTATAAGGAAAGCAGGAAATGCTAAATTGTGTTCCACAGGGATTTAATAAGCAGAATGGCTTGTCAAAGGTGCCCTTGTAATAATCCCTGGTGTTACGCCTATGAATACATTAGCTTTGCATGGCAAAAGGGAATTAGAACTGCATATGGCATTATGCACCACTCAACTGTCAGTTTGTCATACTGTGGTGACTTGCATGTCACTGTAATGCTGGAAGTTATACGACAGGTATTTCAAATACTAGCAAAGTCACTCGTGGTGGACAGGTTTCAGAGGAGCTTCCAGACTGAGACAGATAGTCACTCATGGTAGACAAGTAAGAAGGACAGGGTCATCCACTACTGAAATAATTGGCTACAAAAACCTTATGAATAGCAGTGAAACACCGGCTGATATATTACTAAAAACTTTATGAGTAGCAGTAAAACAATGTCTGATATAGTGTCAGAAGATGAACCGCTCAGGGTGGCAGGTACTCAAAATATGACTGGGAAAGAGCTGCCTCCTCAGAGTAGAGTTGACATTAATGATGGGGAGGGAGGAAACCTTCTGGACCTTCATTTGCTGATGCGGCACGGCTCACAATAAGAAACAGCTGCAAACATCAGAACATGAAATGTACAAAGTATTAATCTAGGAAAACTGAAAGCTGTCAAAAATGAAATAGAATGCATAAAGATCAATATGCTAGGTATTACTGAGCTGAAATGGAGAGGTATGGGCCATTCTGAATCAGTCAATTACATGGTATAATACTCTGGGAATGACAAATTTAAGATGATTTCATCATCAAAAAGAGCATTTCAAGATCTATCCTGAGGTACAATGATGTCAGTGATAGGATAATATCCACATACCTAAAAGGAAGAGCAGTTAATACTATTATTCAAATTTATACACCTACCCCTATAGCTAAAGATGAAGAAATGAAGATTTTCTATAGCCTGAAACTGATCAAACATGCATTCAAGAAGTGCTGATAATTACTGCTGATTGGAATGCAAATTTGGGAACAAAAAAGAAGGTACTTTGAAAACACAGCCTTGATGACATAAATGATTCCAGACACTGCATGATAGAATTTTTAAAGATCAATAACTTATTCATTACAAATACCTTTTCTCAACAACATAAATGGCAGCGATACACGGGGACCACACCAGATGGAATATACATGAATCAAACTGACTATATCTGTGAAAAGAGATGAAAGAGAAGCTCAGTACCATCAATCTGAACAAGGCCAGGAGCAAACTGTGGAACAGACCTAAAGTGCTCCTATGCAAGTTCAAGGTGAAGCTGAAGAAAATTAAAACAAGTCCACCAGAGCCAAAACATGACCTTGATTATATCCCACCTGAATTTAAGGACCAAGTGAGGAACAGATTTGCTGCACTGAACAATAATGTCTGAAGATGAGATGAGTTGTGGCATGATATCAAAAACATCATACATGAAGAAAACAAATGGTCATTAAAAAGGCAGGAAAGGAGTTCCAGTAAGATGGCAGAATAGTCAGAAAGACTGCACAGACCCTCTTCAACAAAGAAAAGGGGAACTAATTAACACAGATACAGAAGATAATCCTGTACCCCTGAGCTTTGAAGGGAAGGATATAGAAGTGGACTAAAGTCCAACTAAAAGAATAATTTGCATGAAAATACCAAAAAAGGAGACATAAGGAGCTGCGGTCTGGCAGTGATCCTGATAGCCCAGATCACTTGGATATTGCCGAGTGGTGACAGGACCTAAGAATTGACCTATAAATCAGCGCTGTTAGCCAGGGACTGCACGGAGGAATGCTCTGGTGGCTGGGGAATAAAAAGGAAAGTGTGAAGAAGAAGGCAGGCTGAGCTGTGGACTTTTGCCTGTCCAGAGGGCACAGCCATTTTGAATGTTTACAAGCGGCTTGACTATTTTGGACAGTGTTCTCCCAGGTTCCAGGGACATAAGAACAAGCTCTACTTGATGGGAACCCCAAAGATATCCTGAATGCACGGACTGCTGGAGAAGTGCAACATTCCCCATTTTGCTCTTATACACCACACCCTCTGGTGAGTGGAGGTGTGGCCATACCTAACTCCCACCCACTTGCCAGGCTGGCAGAAATTCCATCCCACTCTGTGTGCTCCCATGGAGCCTGAGTGCCTTGCCCTGCCCTGTCCAGATTTGCTTTTTAGTTTGTTTGTTTTGTGTTTTAAAATTACTACTATTATTATTACTTTTGTCCTTTTTATTATCTTTCTTTATTCCTCCCTTCCCAGGTTCCAGTTTTCAGTTTTTTGTTTTTGCTATTCCTGGCTCCAATTTTTTGGTTTTTCTTTTTGTGTTTTTCCCATTTTTTCCTTTGTTATTCTCTCTCTCCACTTTTTTCTCTTATTGCCCTCTCCTGGGATATTGCAGTGTTTTTTGTTTTGTTTTGTTTTGTTTCCCTTTTCTCATGTGTGGTTACTGTTTCTGTGTGATTGTATGGTGTGTTTTTTGTCCAATTGCTCTTACTTTTTTATCATTATTCAATTGTTATTTTTCTCTAACTGAGTGGGAGACAGCAAAAGTCCCCATTCGACATAACTACACCTACACTTCCTGCAGCTTCACTTACTGAGTAGGAGTCACCACTGCCTTCTCCACCAACGGGCCCACGATAAACAACCACTAACAAGAGCCTGACTCACCCTTAGCTGCTCTTCACAAACAGTTAACAGAGATCTAAAAAAAACAACATCACGATGTCTCGAAGACAACAGACTATCACAGTACACAAAAAGAAGCAAGACAAAGTGGTAGACAAGGGAGCAGGATACAGACCCAGAACACATCCCTGAGGAAGAAACAGCACTGGAACTCCCTGACAAGGAATTCAAAAGAATTATATTTAGGTATCTTCAAAGGATTGAGAGACAGATCAAGGAACACACACACACACACACACACCAAAAAAAAAAAAACAAAAAAAAACCACAATAATTTTGGAAGAAAATACAACAAAAAAAATGACAAAATAAATGAAAAATTAGAAATGATTCTAAATCTACAGATAAAAATCCAGAAGATTAATACTAAATTGTGAGAAACAAACAACACATTGAAAGGGTAAAGCAGTCAAATTGATGCAACAGAAGACAGAATTAATGGGATTGAAGACAAATAAATACATGAACACTTCTATGGAAAGGGATCAATCAGAAAAAACATCAAAACAAAATGAAGAAAGCTAAGGATCATGTGGGATACCATCAAAATGAATAACCTACATGTCATTGGAATTCCAGAAGAGGAAAAGAAAAAAGAAACCACTGAGAAAATTGTCCCAAGATTTGTTGGAAGAGTATTTGTCTGATATGATGAGAGATGAGAATGTATCCATTCAGCAAGTCCAAGGAAACCCAAACAGGATAGACCCCAAAAGAAAATGACCAAGGAATATCATCATCAAACTCAACAAAACCAAAGACAAACAGAGAATCCTGGAAGCAGCACGGGAAAAACAAAAAGTTACATACAAAGGACAACCAGTAAGAATAAGCTCTGACTTCTCAGCAGAAACCATACAAGTGACAAGGAAATGGGATAGCATATATGAAACTATGAAAGAGAAAAATTTTCAAACAAGAATTATACATCTGGCAAAATTGTCCCTCAAATATGATGGTGAAATTAGGAGATTTCCAGATAAACAGAAACTAAGGGAATTGGTAAAACCAGGCCAACCTAACAAGAAATACTAAAGGGAGTCCTTTGAACAGAGAATCTAAAATAGCAAATAACAACCGACCATTAATACACAAGAAGACATAACCCAGAAACCACAGCTATGGAAATATCCACAGTAAAATGAGCTTACAAGATTGTAAACAGGGAACCAGAGACATCAATTGGCAAGTGAGGACAACTATAAACAAAAAAGAGGGAAAATACTGTGTAGTCACAGAACTTCTAAATGGTGAGGAAGTCAAGAGAGTTGCAAGATAGAATGGACAGTTCTAATCTCAGGAAGAAAATTATAAATCACAGAGAAACCTCAAAGAAAAATGATAAACTTTCATATCACAATAAAAAAAACAGGACAAGCACAAATTTTCAGCAAATACTAAAACAACAGCAACAAAGGAAATGATAAAATAATTCATGATCATGAACATGAATAGACAAAAAAAAATAATATGGAACAAAGAAACCAGGGACACCATGAAAAAACACATAACAAAATGACAGCAACCAATTCATACTTGTCAATAATTACACTGAATGTTAACAGATTAAATGCACCACTTGAGACGAAGAGTTGCAGACTGGATAAGAAAAAAACACCTATCAATATGCTGTCTAAAAGAGACACACCTTAGAGATAAAGGCAAAAATAGACTAAATATCAAAGGTTGTAAAAAGATGTATCAAGCAAATGGCAACTGTAAGGGAGCAGGAGTGGCAATATTAAT